TCGGCGCAGTACTATAACGCGAGTTACCCCTGTGGTGAACTCTGCCATGGTGCAACATTGAAACGATCAGGGACGTTGCGCCCACATGCCGAATGCCCGGGTGTGTGCTTCTGTTGCTCCCTAGCTTGGGTACAGGCGAATCACGCGATAGTAAAGACATTTACACGCATGAATCACGTTATTATAATTTACAGCTCACGCCACCGCCATCACAGCATCCGGCTCATGCCTTTGATCTCTTTTGTTGTTGTTTATTGGCGCCTTATGGTTCGCCGACAGCAATGGTCATGTTAGCTTTGATCTCGAATAGAGAGCATTCGAAGTCGTGTGTGGCGTGGACCTGGGCATATAAGTTGCTGCCGGTGGCGGCACGCTCTGGGGCTACCCGGAAAAGGTCGATCAGGGTGGTCTCCGGTAATTTAAGGGCCCTAGAGATCAAAGTGTTCGTTGATTGCCACACATTTCAAGCTGATGTTTGCCAAATGCTGTTTATTTGCGTGATGGTGTTCTGCGGTGCTTCTAGCTGGAGGGGTAGTGGGAGGTGGGACAGTGAGGTGAGAAGTGAGGTGTGGCGGTGGGAGGGGGGGGGGGCTACCATCTTTGCAAAGATAACATTAACTCTATGACAATGAATGGAAAGAAACCGCGTCAAATCGTTTCTGTCTTCCTCCTGTCTTTTCCTAGACCGAAACCCGCCTTGTCGTCAGCTGTCATTATTAACAAAGTAAATCGGGCATGTTCTGTTTGGTAGCGTCAATAATCCATTTCGCATCTGCGAGACCAGATACGCCACGGTCTTTATTTAAGCTCAAGGGCCCATTGAATGCACTGCTTATTTTTGGAACCACGGTTGCCAGGTAACAAACTCCAATCCTTGGCCAAACTGATCTCCAAAGTGGGGCGAATTTGGCATTTTCGTATTAAATAAGGCGTTTAAGAAGTCGAGTCTCGTGGGTTACGAGCAGCTTAAAGCTGGAGTAAAATAAAGGAGGAATTTGACAGTTGCAATCACATAAAACTGTAGTGGCAACTGATATGCAGGCAGCGCTGGCCCCGGTCAAACCGGAAGACGATGTTAAAACACTAGCAGCCTAAGCATATATCTAGCACGTGTCTTAAGTTCTCATAGTTGGAGCAAAGTGCCAATAGGTCAAGATTAACGGGCGCTCGGATGGGGTCAACTGACCCCCCCCCCCCCAAGGTTTTTCCGGTATGGTTTCCGAACGGCGTGACGTAGCCGTGTCAAGTTGTGCATAGCTGTAGCTAATTGAATAGCGGATTGTCCGGTGTCAAAAATTTGGATGTACCTTGTAAGATCACTGACCTCTGGCAGGTCAACTCAAGACAAGGTTTCAGCGCAGTCAATTTCTAGGGAAATGCTCAATCTGATCTAACGATGGAGTGTTAGACGAAGCCATGCATCTCTGAAATACTTTCTTAGGCAACACAGCAATTGAATAAACAAATCATATCGACCTAGGGTTAGATATGAAGGTTAAACCAAGGTCAAAGCCAAGGTTTTTTTGTTACTCTAGGGGTTGCAGTATGGGGTAGTTTCTGGTGCTCATTTCGAATTAATTGATAACAGGAGCCGTATCATACACCTCCCATGGACTTCTTAAGGGTCAAAATAGGTCACTGACCTAAACTGACCGAGTTCAGCATTTTGTTTTTAGGAACACACTGCCTAGCGTAGTCTTTGTCGTTTATTCAATTGCAAAACACAAAGCATTCTTGTGTGATTTTGGCCATCATGACCTTCCGGAGGTCAAACAAGGTCACTAACCTTAATGATTATGTGAAATTTTGCTTAAAGTAGTTGTCCAGTGTCTAGGGCCCTTTGAAGACCAACCTGGGATTAGAACTTGTTTGGCCTTATTTGACCCGAAGGGCATGACCTATGGACCTCAAACTTCAGCCTAAGTGAGTTCCCGTACAGTTTAACACACCCTGTGAATTTGATGTCTCTGACTCTCTTAATTTCTTTAGATCTCGGGTGCTCAAATTGACCGTCACCCGAGCGAAGGGTATCCAACCGGCCAAACGGGCGGGTGTTAAGTCCTTTCAATGCTGTCTGGTGTTGACGAAAACTTTTTTCGATGTCCGACGCGTCGAACCAACATATTTCTTTCAGGCGCTCTTAATGTAAGCACATCTGAGCATGTTTTTGAGCAAAATGTGATAGCCAAGTGCACTCAGATATCAAAGTGAAGTAGTATGCATGGAACACGTTAACGAGCGCGGGAAAAATTACGACCGATTTAAGAGGTATTTGCTTTCAGTGCCACCTCCGGCATTGTCGTACGTCGTGCGCGTGATCACTTTTACACCAAATAAACGTTTCTGGAGTTTGCTTGGGATTTCTACAACCCCCTCCCCTACAGATTTGGGGATTCTATTTCCATCAGTGCACCGAAGAGATGTGTTTGTATCCAATCCTCACATTCCTCTTTGTATGGAATACGTTAGAAAAAACACTTTTACAACCCACATTTCTGGTTCGTGTCACCAAACAAGTGAAGGCACACTTCGCCAAGTCCAAGGACGGTTTTTGCCAGTAGGCTTACTTCGTGACTCTCACCTAAAACGCGGCTGTGTTAATTAAGGGTGATTTGGCAAGGGTGTTAAGAGCGTAAGGGTGTTAATTATCTTACTTCAAACGTCCTGCCATCATGAAGTAAGACAGAAACATAGGTATAAGGTGATTTTTTCATACCAAAAACTCCAACTTGGCCTCAAATGACCTAATTTCAACTTTGTCCAAATCCCATTAATAAATAGCCCAATCTGTGACAACTGAGCATGGAATGGCTTATTTGACCGGCCTGTTCGAAGTCCTCATTCATCATTTTTGAAATGACAAAGTTCTATAGGGACAGCGGGCAAGCAAACAAAAACTCCAACCTATGGGTGACGGCCAAGTTACTGGTGTTGCTGGTTATGGTAGCGCAAAGTTTCATTCACCTACTTGTCCACTCGGCAGTTCCAAGGGCCTTTTGGCTTTTTGCGTACTGATGGTCCTCCCCACACTCAAGAAGTTGTTTGGGCCTCCGGGTTTTCCACGCACATGGATCGAAGTGCGCGTATATCAGGTATGTTTATTTACATAAGCTTCGACGCACACCGTGCGGGCCCCTCAAATAGAGGGGGATGCAAGTGCGTCGGTCCGCAAGGCTGTGCACATTTCCCTGCACGTTCCCATTCCCCTAGCTGTAGCTATAACGAAGGAAACTCAAGAGACATCGTTTTCCAGCATAATGGACCATTGTCTAATTTGGTGCGCTTGGTTCATCGGACAGCGTTGGCTTCACCCCTCAGGTATCCCACAGTCTCTAGCGATGCCCGTGGAGACCAGCGTTTGCACCTCGCCCACACAGCAGGGCAATGTTGGCGGATTGACGCTTGGTTTATCGGACAGCGTTGACTTCACCCCTCAGGTATCCGACAGTCTCTAGCCATGCCCGTGGAGACCAGCGTTTGCACCTCGCCCACACAGCAGGGCAATGTTGGCGCGGCGTGCTGGCGTCGTACGGAGCTGTGGACATTAATCATATCAGCGTTTCTTCAGTCGGTTGAAGACCAGCCAAAGACCATGGATCTGTTCCATTGAATCGGGCTAATGATCTCCCAACGGTAAACAGATATGCTAACTGTAAGTGTGCTCCGCCTGGCCCATATATTTTTCATGGACCAATTTGAGCGGCGCAGCAGTGTGTAGCATGATTGATCATTTGGAGTGCTATTGAAATGTCCTAAACGTCTCCCGGCAGGACAACATGAACGGAGTGATTTAGTGGATGATAATATCCGAAAGCCTGGCAACAAAGAAGACGACATCTCTCATCTACATTTGTTCGTTAGGGAACAATGGTATCGATAGCTTTCACTGAAACCGTTAAAAAATGTCGCCCAGTCTCGGAAATCCCATGAATGTGTAACGTGACACTGTTTGTGGTGACTGAATCAGCAAACGGTGCCAGAGAGCGAGAGAGGTTTTCTAGAGCCAGGCGCGGAGCTCGTAGACGGTTATCAGAATGGCGATCCGACGCAGCTGCATGCATGCAAAAAGCGCCAGACCCGGCCAACGACCACAGCACTAACACCGGGAACAGGCGGCGCTTATTTTTATGTCCCACTGCTCATTCATTCAAGGAAGAGCGCGCAGTTTCTGAGCCGGCCTCTTCCTTATCTCCAGTTCAGATGCCGATCCGAGGATCTCATAATCAGCGCTAAGCCATCCCATGACATAAACTCCTGGATGCTGAGGGTTAGACGTATCCAACGACCTGGACTTCCAAATGTCCCTGAAACTTCGGGCCATCGTGCGAAATACGGAAGTGTAGCCACCTTCAGATGACATTACAGAGAAATCAAAATTTTTGAGGAATATGTTGAAACATACCACTTTTGTAATCAGAGCCTCCACGGTCCTCCAGAAGGGCCACTTCTGCGGCAGAATTGGTCGACTGAACTCCAAATAGTTCATTCTCTGCCGAAATCCAGGACCTAATCCTGCCCAATATCTTGGTTTATTGCTCACGTCACGTCTCTGATGTCACGTGTTTTAAATTGAAGTCATTATGTTTCCGCCCTGATTTCTAGGGACGTGGCTGACACTTCCGAATGGTTCGAACCAGCCGTTATTAGCTGTCTGGGCCATACTATATATATATATATATATATATATATATATATATATATATATATATATATATATATATATATACACCCGGTTCCTCCGACTGTAAGCAAGGTCACAGCGTTCACCAGTCTCCGCTCCCATTGAAGCTCGGCGGTAATGGCGTAAGGTGTTGTTACCGGCGAACAGCGGGTTAAGTCTTTGATGCTCCAAGCCAAATATCACAGTAACAATTTCACGCTGCAAAGGGGCAGACAACACGCTTTTGTTGACAAGACAATTGACAGCATTCCATATGCGATCAGGTTCAACATATGGACCGGTCGGCGTGCCCCTGTGATGCAGGCGAGGAGCCACTTACCTGAGGGGTCCAAACGCACGCTGAAGACAAGCTGGTCCGCGACTGAGATTTCGACCTGGATTTCCAGAGCTTCTTGGCGACGACGCGGCTGCCATGGTTGCCGGTCTTGCCAGTCTTCTGCATCACTGAGGAGAACAAGCCGCGTTTAGAGCCTGCCGGCTGCTGCAGCGACTGCTGCGACTGAGCCGTCGGCGACTTCACACTGGACAGCCGGCGCGCGAAAAAGCCGGCCTTGGGGGTCGATGTGTGGGCCTGTGGGGAGGAGAGGGGATGCCGCAGGTCGGCCGCCGAACCCTGTCCCGGCGGCGCGGCGCCGCCTCCCCGGCAGGGCTGCGGACCCCAGCCGGAGGGCGTGGGAGGCTGGTCCGCCGCCTGCGGGCGGGACGCGAAAAATTCGTCCGCCGCGTACTCCCCTGTCACGTCTAGGCTAGTCCGCGCACTGCTGTACACGCTAAACGGCGCCATCGTGGACGACTCGATGTCCGATAAGGTCAGGTCGCGGGTGCCCAGGTCATCACTGACAGTTATGGAATATCGCGGACTGAGCGGGTCACTGTATTTTTCGTCCGCGCACGCCGACACCTCGCTCTCGGCCTTCGAGAGCTTTCGCGTCGGCCGAAAGCCGGCGAAGGCTCCCCGCAGCGAGTCGAGAATGTACTGAGGTAGCGGCTCGCCGACTTGGATTCCTCTCCGCTTTTTCTTCTTGGTTTCCGCCGGCCGTGGGACGCTCGGAGCGCTCAGGGCCGACTTCGGGGGGTCATCCAAGTCCAGCGGCTTGACGTCCTCCCCCATGTCCTCCAACGTGTCCGGATTGATCCGCTTCGACTTGATATTTCGCAGCGTTTTATCATAGTTGACCGTTTTGAAGCGGTCCTTTTTGTCCTTATCACGGGTGGCCGAATCTCGACGAGCCATCTTCAGGTACCGCGACAGTTTATCACCGAACCGGTCCAGCATGGGCGACGGCTGCTCGGAGGCTTCCTTCTTCTCCGCGTCGCCGTCGGCCTTGGCGGCCTCGCCCTGGACGTGCCGCAATTTCGGGTCCGCCTCGGCCGGGCCGCTGGCCTGCGTCATCGAGTCCTTGCGCAGCGCGGCGCCGTGGGGCGCCAGGTCGCCAAACACGCCGACGCCGCCGACGCCGGACGTGACGGACGTGGTCGACTTGTACGGCTCGGAGCGCGAGTCGACCACCGAGAGCGGGCTGAGCGGCGTCTCGGGCGTGCTGACCTCTGCCTCGGTGCCCTTGCCGCTGTCCGTCTCGACGGGCGGCAGCGGCTCCGGCTGCAGCCGCACGTCCGTTTGCACGCCGACGCTGCGCACCAGGCGGCTGACGCCGTCCTGCAGCGCCTCCACCACGTCGCCGACGCTGACCAGCCGCTCCTGCTGCTGCCGCTGCCGCAACCGCTGCTTCAGCTCCTCGGCGGCGACCGCATCGAAGCCGACCGGGGTGACACGGCTGCCGGCCGAGAAGGCGCGCCAGCCGGCCGTCGGCCGCTGGTACGCCTCGGCGCTGGCGCCGTACGCCTCGGTCAGGCCGAACATGGGCGCCGCCGCCGCCAGCGGCAGCTGCTGGTCTTCGACCACGGTCGCCTCGTCCTCGGAGCCGGTCAGGCTGCCGGCGCCGAGCGGCGTCAGCGGCTCCGACGAGCACGTCAGCGCGTCCGCCTCGTCGGCGCCGCCGTCCTCCTTCTTCTTGCGCGGCCACAGCAGGAAGCTCTTCTCCTTCTTGCACACCTGCTGGAAGTTCTCCTCCAGCGGCTGGTAGGAGGCCGGGCCCGGCTCGGGCGCCCAGCCCTCGGGGATCAGCCGTCGGCCGGCGTCCGCCATGTAGCGCCATGTCTTGCGCGTCAGCAGCCAGCGCTCGCCGTCGCGCCGCGCCGGCTTCTCCTTGGAGGCCATGGCGGCGCGCGCGGCGGCCCGGCGGCGGCGCGCGGCGCGCCCGGCCAGCTCACCTGTCGACTCCGACTGCCGGCGGCGCCCCCTGCCGCCGGCGGCACGCGACACGGCCACGCCACTTGGCCTAGCGTTTACCGCCGAGAGCGCTGAGAATAGCTACCGGGCCGCGCTGCCAGCGGCCAGTACGAGCTTTGTCCTATACACCGCCGCCACCAGGCCTGGCAGCCCATTAAAATCTAACAATAGGCCCATTGGTGGCAGGCGGGAAACGCTGCAAGTGCGCGAGGTCGCGGTGTCCGCGTGCGTACGGTGGTTAGAAATTTCTCATTTTGCTCCGCTGTCAACGCTGGCGTATAAGCTTTCAGACCGACAGTCACACGACGTTTCGCAAGTCTTTGCTGGTTTCGCGATGAGACGATCCCATTTTTCGTGTTCCCGTCAGATGTTCTGCGAAACTGACATTCGCGGAGGTGGGAGCACCAAGGGCAGTCCGCCACGAGCGCTTTGTTTAACCGACATGTATGTGTGCTTAAAAAATATACATGACGAACTTTTCAATTTCGATGTTAAGGTTACTCTCTCACTAGCAGGGCTGCAAACATTTACCAAATGTTTATATTATAGATAAATGTTTGTAATAGGATGGAGCATGTTTTCTATGCTGCAGGTGCGACAGAGGCATGCAGCAGGGACCTGGATTTCCGGGGAACTCACTGAACCGTGCTGAAGGCGCTCTAGAACACGATTCACAGAAAGATGCTGTGTATATGACTTAAGCTATTAGGTACACTGACTTCGCTGCTAAGGTTATTATGTTGACCCAACCCCCCCTGACCGTTCTGGTTTAGTTGGGCTGGGTGCTATTTCATAATGCTCTTGTTGTCCGGTTATCATGCTAGAAAGCATGATGTATGTTGAGAAGTGCTCCATTCCTCTTTGGTCTGATTGACTTCCGACCAAAAATATTTAACGTACATGCAACCTTTATTTTTCTGGGTCCTTTTATTTGCCACAATGAACCACATGACAACAATAATATTCCTAAGATGTAAGGGGAGTGCCCCACATTTCTTTCGGGTTTTGAGGTGAAATAGCCATTTGAAGATCATTCGGCGCGGTTCATAGTCTTGCCCTCCTTAAAGCCTAAAACCCTCAACTTTCTGAGCTATGCAACCACAAAATGTGCAAACTATTGCAAGGCCATTTAAACATGCACGATGCCATAGCAACGCCATTCAAATCCTGCCACCCCACAAGCCAGGCGGTGTTCAAGGCTAGGAAGGCCATTATCGTCCAGCTGTTCAGATCTGGCGCCCGTAAGCGCAATCTCCAAATATAGGAGACGTCAGTTGTCTCTCAATCAATGTTCATCAAGCTGTGCAGGCTTAAATCACGATCGCGCTTTGTGCCACATAATTCTAGATGTTAAAAAATGACTGCTTCACTTGATAGTTATCACGGAAATAAGACCTGTACACGAATGACTTAGAATTAACGCCATCACAGAGTATGTGAGGGCAAGTAAACATCTTAAGCCCACGGATAAATTTGCAAGAATGCTACAAAGAAGGACAAAAACACGAGCACGTAACGATATTTGGCTCGGCAAACACTTCTAGCCCTAGAATAATCTATAAATTCTGGAATGATCTGTGTGTGACAAGAAGGTAGACAACTTGAATGATACTCTCACATTTTCTTGGAAAGCATCAGTGGTGAGACTTACATGTTCTTTGCATCGTTTTTAATAATAATTTGTTTGCAAGCGGAACTTGATTAACATAAGAGCAATCGTCATTATGCTTGACGACTAAGGTTGAGAAAGAATTACACAACGCTATCGTGATGCAGTTACCAATGCATCATGAAAATAGCCAACGCATACAGATTTCAAGGAGCCTGAGCGTTCACTGTATTCTGTCACAAGTATACCACTTGGCCCATGGATGAGAGACAGCCGATACATATCGTAGGCCTAGCAAATGTTCGCTGTCCATAGCGTCAAAAAAGTTCGTGTTAGTAATAATTTGTTTTTGGCACACCTGTGCCCTCATTACCATGCATATGATACAACGAGTAAATTAATGATTTGTGGAACTAAATTACAAATGCGTGCCGACTTACCGCAGAAATACATTAAAGCAACCATTGACCAACATACTCACCATTACTGTTTAAGATCTTTCGTTACAGTAAATAACACTCAGAGGTCAGTTGCAGTGCCTCTCAATCATTACGTTTTAAGTGCAGACAAACAACATAACATGCAGAGCGTATGCCTGTTCATCCGTCCTCACTACATTTCTTAGGTGCACAGCGCAGACGTTTATCTTTGTGGCGATCAGCGGCACACACTCATGCCCGTCCGGCATCGTTGTTAGCCAGAACACGTGCGAGAAAAAACACCTTTTGTCACTTCCCAGGGCGAAATTTGTCATATATTTAAGATCTCGAGATATTTTCCTCTTGCGATTGCATCATTTCTGCAAACCTTCAGCGGCGATAAAAGTAACATACCTGGGCGCTGGAGATACCTGTAGAGATTACCATTTCTTAGAGATTCCCATATGCTTAGAGGCTCCGCATTCATGCCGGTAGCTAAAAGCATTCGACCCCCCATTGCAGGGGACTAACGATTCATTCTGGTCATGATACTCATTCGACGTCCCAGGAGCGCGGAACAGTCCTACACAGGCAGCAGGTCCAAGCGATCCATGAGTGTTAAACATCATACAAATGCTGAGTAAGATTTCCCTTACACTCTTCACGAGGCAATGTTACGCCGCTGATGACACAGCTGGTGGCGGCGCTATAGGTGCCAAGGACGGAGCCACGCAGCGAGGAGGCGCAACACAGGGGTGCAAGTCGTGCTTAAGTCGTGCTCAGCGAAGTGCTCCAATGGTAGACGTTATTTTCTAGTCCTAGCCGGTATTTCAGGACTTGCGCCAGATTTGGATTTGGTGTTAACCGAAGCATACAATATAACATAAAATCGAAGTTGAATGCTGATGCTAATACTTTGTAGCACGGAAACTGGAGAACAATGTGATTTGTAAAACAAGAAACACGCCTGGTGCGACGTGATAGAAGCGAGGCGACGATGATATGATAGCATCGCTGTGTGACGCGAGACCTGCGTGATGTATCGTGTATTGACAACAACAGTGCATATACCAATGCACAGTACACAAGAACAGCACACGTGAAAAGCTACCATGTCGGGTTGGGTCTTCAGCTTTTTTCACTTTCTTTGAATTCGGTACACTCTTTTGCGAGGGTTGGATTTGTGTGATCGGAGCTAACGTTAGACAGTTTTTGTTGTGCAAGTCTCGATCCACCATCCCAAGATGCAACTTCAGTCCAACGGCACAATTTTAACAAGCGTCCGGGTGGCCGGCTAGATACCCCTCGCTCGGGTGGGGGTCAAATAGACCCCCTGAGATCTCGGGAACTAAGGGAGCTAAAGACACGAAACTTACAGGGTGTGTTCACCTGTACGTGAGCTCACTGAAGTTAAAGTTTGAGATCCCTAGGTGACGGCCTTCAGGTCAAATAAGGTCAAACAAGGTTAAATTTTAGGTTGGTCTCCAAAGTGGCCCCAAAGCCTAGATCACTATTTCTGAGCAAAAGGCCACAAACTCATTAAGGTCAGCGAACTTTTTTTGACCTTTTGAAGGTCATGGTGACAAAATCATACATTGGGTTTTGCATTTGAATAAGCGACACAGACATCTTAGGTCAATGATCTATTCTGACCCCTTACAAGTCAATTAAATATATATATATATATATATATATATATATATATATATATAATGCGGCTGCTGCTATCAAAAAATTCGAAATGAGCACCAGAAGCTATCCCATACAGCAAGCCCTAAGGTAATAAAACAGGTTGATTTTGACCTTGGTCTGACCTTCATACCTGGCCTTAGGTCAACGTAATTTGCTCGTTCAATACTCGTTTTGCCTAAAAAAGCATCTCAGATATGTATGGCTTCTTCAAACACCCCGCTGTTACATCAGATCGAACGATTCTCTAGAAACTGTCCTCGTTGAAACCACGGCCTGACTTTGACCTGCCACAGGTCAGCGACCTTGCAAGGTACATCCATTTTTTATGTAAAAAATATATTTAATTGTCTACAGCAATGTACAATTTGGCACGGTGTAGCCGAGCCGTTCGAGGACCATTTTGGAAAAACCTTCGGGGGGGATCAATTTGACCCCCACCCGAGCGCGTGTTAAGGCAAACGTTTAACGTGTCGAAATGCCTAGCATGGTCCGCCCGCCATCCAGCCTCATATCACCCTGGGCAGGCACTGTGTTAATTAAAGCGTTGAAGACGTGATTCAGTTGGCACTCCATTTGTTAGTTTGGTGCTCCATGACTCCATCGGAATTCCATTCGTTACCCATTGAAATTGGGGACGAGGCACAGAGCAGGTGCATCATTTGACTCGACTTACACGGAAAGGTCAGCTGGCAACTGGCTAAGAATCAGGGGCGCTGGAACTATGTTCAAGCTGGGGAACAAACTTCAAAATGCCAAAATGGGCCTTTAGGTTAGATAGGGGCACCTAAAAGCCAGAATGAGCCCTTTGTCGCCCATAATGGAACTTCTACAGACCAGAATCGGTCCTAAGAAAAACATCATAGGCACTCCACAGTCGATAAAGGCTCTCTGCAGGCTAGCATGAGCCTGCTATAGGTCGGAATGGGACCTCTACGGGTCAGAATAGGCAACCGTTAGGCCAGAATGGACCGTCTACAGGCTTGAATAAGCCCCTTCCCCCCACAGCCTTTACGTTGGGAAGGGCGGCGAGCTGCCCCCACTGTCCTCCCCCAGTTCCAAGGTTCTTCCTAAGGAGAGTCAATCTAGGCGCGGGGCAGCCTTGTTACAGCACTGTGCGACACATAAAAACATCCACAGCCTTGCTCCGCGAGGGACGAAAGCAAAATTTATCATTGAACTGGCCGGCACAGCTTGTATGGTGAGCTCAG